CAGGGCTACCAGGCCGTGTTCGTGGGCATCGGCATGCCGCAGGCCAAGCCCTTCCCCGTGTTCGCCGGCCTGAGCCGCGAGCACGGCTACTACTCCAGCAAGGACTTCCTGCCCGAGGTCGCCCGGGGCAGCAAGGCAGGTCAGTCGGTCAGCGCCGCGCAGCAGCCTTCAGAGCAGTACTGCTCTGAAGCAGCAGCGCCGCGACGTCCCGGGTGTGGTGTGTCTTTGATTTGCGCTCCGGTGAATGTAGCGGGTTTGCCTACCCCGTGCGTCTGTAAGGCGCCATAACCGCTCTGCAGCCCTAGCGACGCCGGAGCGCATCAATATACACCGTGCACGTGGTCCTCGCCACACTTGTTGACGAGATCGAGCTGACGCGGAACCGTTCTCCCTCTGAGCAGGCATGTGCGGCTGTTCCTCGCGGCCCGCGCTGCCCGCGCTGCACGGCAACGTGATCGTGCTGGGCGCCGGGGACACCGCCTTCGACTGCGCCACGTCCGCACTGCGCTGCGGCGCCAGGAGGGTGTTCGTCGTGTTCCGGAAGGGCTTCCGTAACATCCGCGCCGTGCCCGAGGAGGTGCGTGTCGCCTTGGACAGGGCCAGGAGGACGATGGTCAGGAGTTTCTTTCAACTTGGGCGTGCGAGTTTCAGATGGAGCTGGCCGTGGAGGAGAAGTGCGAGTTTCTGCCATTCCTCAGCCCCAAGGAGGTGATCGTGCGCGGGGGGCGAATCGCAGCCGTCGAGTTCACCCGCACCGAGCAGCTGGATGACGGCACTTGGGTCGAGGACCCGGAGCAAACGACCCGCGTCAAGGCCAACTTCGTCATCTCCGCGTTTGGCTCCGGGCTGTACGACGAGGATGGTGAGCGACCGGTGTCCGCGGCCGCGCGCTCCAGCTCCACGCCCAACCCGCGGAGCGTTCAGTTAACCGCCCTCTCTACCGTTGCAGTCCGCGCCGCCCTGGCGCCCCTGCGCCTCAACAAGTCCGGCACCCCGGAGGTGGACGCCGCCACGATGGCGTCGTCCGAGCCCGGCGTCTTCTGCGGCGGCGACATTGCCGGGCTGTCCGAGACGACAGTGGAATCTGTCAACGACGGCAAGACGGCTGCCTGGTTCATGCACAAGTACATCCAGGAGCGGCACGGCGGCAGTGTCCCGTCCGAGCCGTGTCTACCGCGCTTCTACTCGGCCGTGGACCGTGTCGACCTGAGCGTGGAAATGTGCGGCGTGCGCTTCCCCAACCCCTTCGGACTGGCGTCAGCGCCGCCCACCACCTCCTCCGCCATGATCCGACGCGCCTTCGAGGTGAGCCCCCCCCCCCTCTCCCCCCGTGCGAGTAGGCAACTCGCCAACACGGATGCATGCGGTACAGTCTATCGGCGGGAGTGTCGGCGTGTCGAATCAGCCACCTTCCTGGATCGTGCGATAAGAGTGAGTGCCGAACAACACTTTGTGTACTCCATGCTGCAGGCTGGCTGGGGTTTCGCGGTCACCAAGACGTTCGCCCTGGACAAGGACATCGTGACGAACGTGTCGCCGAGGATCGTCAAGGGGTCCACGTCACGACACCACTACGGCCCCGAACAGGGCTCCTTCCTCAACATTGAACTTATCTCGGAGAAGTGCCAGGACTACTGGCTCACCAGCATCAGGGAGCTTAAGAGGGACTTCCCGGACAATGTAAAAGCACTGTCGCCGCGATGGTTCTTGTTGAGCTGAGAGGCGCCGTTGCCGGCCATTTCATCGTTTGCCATGCATTCCAGGTGCTGGTCGCGAGCATCATGTGCTCGTACAACAAGGAGGACTGGGTGAAGCTGAGTGGGCTCGCCGAGGAGGCTGGCGCCGACATGCTGGAGCTCAACCTGTCCTGTCCCCATGGCATGGGCGAGTCCGGGATGGGGCTGGCCTGCGGTCAGGTAGGCCTCAGAATGTTACTTCATGTTCGCCCCCACTCCTCCTTACTTTGCAACCGTAGGTCTCCATAGACCTGTGGTGTTCGCGTGGGTGTACGAGCAACCCCGCTTCCCCACGTCTGTCTCTTGCCACGCGCTCACTCTCACACTCACCGCGCGGCCTCGCGCTTCCAGAAACCAGAGCTCGTGCGTGACATCTCGCGCTGGGTGCGCGACACCGTCCAGATCCCCGTCTTCATCAAGCTCACGCCCAACATTACCGACATCGTGACCATCGCCAAGGCCGCGCACGAGGGCGGCGCCAGCGGCGTGTCGGCCATCAACACGGTGTCGGGGCTCATGAGCCTGCGCGCGGACGCCACCCCCTGGCCGGCCGTGGGGCGGCGCGAGTCGGGCTTCCGCACCACGTACGGCGGCGTGTCCGGCAACGCCACTCGGCCCATGGGGCTGCGCGCCGTGTCCGCCATCGCCCGGGAGCTGCCCGGCTTCCCCATCATGGGCATCGGGGGCGTGGACTCGGCCGACGTCGGGATCCAGTTCCTACAGGCGGGGGCCACCACGCTGCAGGTGTGCAGCGCCGTGCAGAACCAGGACTTCACGCTCATCGACGACTACGTGTCCGGCCTCAAGGCTCTGCTGTACCTCAAGGCCCTCGAGCTCCCTGGCTGGGACGGACAGAGCCCGCCGCGCACCAAACAGTACAAGGGCAAGCCCGTCGTGTCTCTGCAGAGCTTCCTCGACAAGGGCAAGGTGGGTGCCGTCCATCGGTAAGTAGATGGGTCCTACGGACATTTGTTTACCTCCCCCGCGGGCCCTATACGCAGGTGCTACCGCGGTTCGGACCGTACGAGAAGGAGAGAGAGGCATCGGTGCACGCGGCTCGGCAGCGGGGTGCCCTTCAGCCTGAGCCAGAGCCGCCGCGGGTAGCAGCCGCCCCGCAAAAGCCGGTCCCCAGAGTTCAGGACATCGTGGGCGCGGCCGTGGCCAGCATCGGCTCCTACAAGAGCCTGGACAACACCGCGCAAGTGGTGGCGCTGGTAGACGAGGTAGGACTGCGCGCAACAAATGACACTGCAATTGCATTTAAGTTGAAAGCTTTGATAACTTGTCTTTGGAACAGGACACGTGCATTAATTGTGGCAAATGCTACATGGCATGCAATGACTCTGGATACCAGGCCATCAACTTTGACTCTGACACTCATCTCCCGAAAGTAAATGATGACTGCACAGGATGCACACTGTGTGTCTCAGTTTGCCCCATCATTGACTGCATAACGTAAGGATTTCAAACTCTGTGAATCAAATTTCATGTTCACTTTTAATGTTATTCTTTTTTCTGACAGAATGGTTCCGAAGACTATACCACATGTGATCAAGAGAGGGTACCCTATTACCATCAAAGAAACGAAAATTGGAGAGTGCCAATAATTAAAAACAGTGGTTACCTTTATTCTCATTCTAGAAATCAAAAAACCGAAAAGAGGCAGAAGAAGATTGGAAAATGAATGGGGAAGGACGGGGGAATGAGATTTTAGAATATGCATTTGATTTAAAAATTGCAAAATGGTATACTATTTTTCAAATGAGAGAATGCAGTTTATACTCACAACATACATTTATTGTGGATTATGTTAATGAAAAATCATCTAATCATACATAAACAGGAAGAAGGTCTTTTATAATACTGCACAGTACAAATGACGAAGATGAGCTTCCGCTACAATGTCAAAAATAACTTTCTTTTTTTATACACCAAAAAAAAAAAAAAAGGTAAAGGAAAAAGTGAAAGTTGATGTGTTTTCTTAGAGAACCAAACATTTCATTTCATATACTGTATCTCAAAAAAAATTTACATTACAGTAGACATCGGTACTTAAAGCTAATGCACTGTCAGTAAGCTACCTAGATAAGTATCACACAAAATGATTACCAGAAAAAAGTGCCTAACATTTAAACATATGTACCTAAATATTAGGAGATAAAAGCAGAAGAGTAAACACTTCACATGAGACATGGACACAAAACTCCTCATATGATTACATTTTCTATAGTCTAGAGCATATGATGAAGTGGTAATCACTGATTAAACATACATCAATGATTCTCAAATTGAAAAAAATTGTGAGGAAATTACAGAAAAAGAAGTCCTATTTCAAGGAACATTGATAGAAAAGTGTCTTACAAATATGTTGAATTAAGAATAGGAAACCTGAAAAGTTAATGATACTACAAAGATACCACTTGGATCGTACATTTAGATCAAAACTGAAATTAGAGCACAGACAGTCAAATAAATTAAAACAATGTTTGCTTCAGCACAAAAAGCACCAAGATAAGAGAAACATTTTTAAGTTTGTTAGGAGTACAAGATATTTTGAGTTAGAGGTCCAGAAAACTATGACAACACCAAAAACCTTAGCTTCTCAATCTATAACTAGCTGATGAAGAAACATGAAAGCAAATATCAAACTTCCAAATTTCAGCCTCTTTGCAATTCCTGCTATCTACAAAACAAAAACAAGAAAGGTTAATATCACATTTTGAACACCCCTTCAAGCAAGCGCAATGGAATGAAAAAAGAAAAAAAAATGTAAAAAAAGGGGAGATAGAATGAAGCGTACAAACTCAATTAAAATTATGAACTAAATATAAATACTACGTAGTACTGTATGTGCAGTAGGTAACAGTCTAAAAAGCCTGCAGTTTTTCTGGGGTATGCCGACAGATTAGCATCCAGAGCAGCAAAACCTTCAATCCATGTGAATGAATCAATATATAATAAAATTTCACCAAAATAAATTGGCAATTTCCACTTGTTTTGAAAACAACTATTTAATGCACCTTTTATTCTTTTGAGGAGCAAAATGTCAATTCTACTATGTTTCATAACAGGTACATGAAAAAAGGGCAAGTGAAACAAGAGTTGGGATAACACTTTTACTCAGCAGAGATAAAGGTAAAAAAAAAAGAAAAAAAAGAAGAAACTGGTGAGCATGGAGAGACTTGTTCATCTCTTTCAACACAAAAACTGTCAAAAGCCTAAGTTGATCAATCAAGTGTGATGTTTCTTTGTTGTACAAAAGCATTAACAACAAGACTGAAAAGAGCAAAAAGCATCAAAGAAATTAAGAAAAGTGTTGAAAAAGGAGGGGAATGATTACCAACATAAATGCACCTTAAAAATTCATTGCTGATAATTACTTGTCGCACATTGCTCACTGAGTCCCTGGTTGTCACCAAAATGCACATTGAAAGTGACATGCGTTTGAGATAATACAGTTTCTTCACCACTTCTGTATAAGTGTTGGCATACGTTTCACTTAATTACACAAATCTCAAACAGAAAACCTATTTCTGACATTGTAAGACAGAGCAAAAACGTCCTAGTACAAAAATACATGAGCAAATTTCAACGGACTCCTTCGTTTACTAGTGTTGATAGACAATAAAGCAAAACACAACAGATTCCAACTTTGAACACTTAACCAAACTTATGGTTTTCTTTTTTATGAGGAAAAAAAGGCAGTGCCATGTAATTAGAGCTCAACTGTATCAGATTAATAAATAAGCATCACAATGGGCAGACACATTCACTATTCTTGATATAATGAACCTACAATTACTACACAAAATTAAGAAAAATAAAAATGGTATAAGAAAATGCTAAGGTAGTCAAAAAGCCATATCACATAGGGTTTTCTGCAAGTCACAGATTGGTTTTGATAAAATGACACAATTCATACAATTTTTAAATAACCATTCAACATGGATAGTATGAAAAGTTCTTGAAAACCCACAGATTGTTTCATTTGTAAGGAAAGATTAAAAATCCTGAACCCAACCAAGGTTTAGTCTACAACTAACACAGAAAATAAAAATAAAAGGACAGATGATTACAAAAGGAGAATGAACATAATAAGTTTCATAAACTCACTGGCACCAACAATACTTTCAAAGGAAGTAATCAAGAGACATCATGTGCGTTGAAAAGTTAGATCAACTAAATGGTGAATATAGGTGATCAAAAACACAATTAGACCAACAGTCGAGAAGATTTGATACTGATCTTTCAGGTGATCTCTTTTAGGATTTGAATTTGAGGCAACATATTCCACGCAGGAGTTCTTGTCACCAAGAGATTCATACCGCTTAAATCATCAAAAATTTTATCAGATTCCTAAACAATAGGAAGATAAATATACCACTACAACAGAAACAAGCCAATCTATCAAAAATAAACTTACAAAGATGTCTAGTGTCATGAAGTTACAACGTTCAATAGGCCTCATGTAAGAGCATAGCATAAATCTTACAATCACATTTAAAATCAATGGTATCTATCTCCCAATTAGACAAATTTACATTTTAAGTAATCCCTGAGTAAAGCACAAAACATTACTCTTTTTATACACACTACAAGTGATGTTCCAAAACTGATTAACATCATTATTGCTCTACAATTACTAATCAATAATTTAAGTACATGAGTCAATATATATAACTATACCAGTAAAATGAATAACTACAAATTAAGCTTACATATTGTACATTTCAACCATCAATAAATTACAGCAGTCCAAAAGTTGCAAAGGAAGAGACTGGCAAGGCCGTGTGAGAGGTGACAACCTAATCTGTATTTATCAAAAGATGTGAGGAACTAACTACTGACGAAAGGTCTGAGTAGCCATGATGTTGACGCCAGGTGTAACATAATCTCCAATCATCAAGCTATTGTTGACAGGATAATGAGTTGTGTTTCCTAACACCAGCTGGGTTGGTTGGCCAGAGATATTCATGTTGCCACACTGCAAACAAAGAAAAATGTTAAAGACAATAAAGACACCGATAGAAACTTCACTTTTAAAAATGTTTACATTACATTATAGTTTAAACCTTACAAGGGTTTGGAGGAACATACCTGGGCTGTGAAGAGTGTAGGAGTTATTCCCCCACCAATTAACTGAGCAGCTTGGGTGGAGGTCGCAGTTCCAATTCTTTGACGCCCTGTGCTAGATATACTCCCAGGATGTATGTTGGGCTGAGACCCTATGAAGGAGCAAGATGGATACAAAAATTAACACAAAAGGTTGGAAAGCAATCCATCTGATGATACACTTTAGAGTGATTTAATAGCAAACAAATATAAAGTTACTGACCTAGAGCAATAAGATTATTGGTTTGTGAAGTGTCCATGGACACTTCACCAAGTCCATTTACAGACATTCCATTGACCATGTTGACAGCTGGAACAAAATAAAATAAAATTGAAGAATGTCCTTGTCATAGCTATTAAGTGGCATCATCTTGCTAGCCAAAAGATTCAGTCCAGTTTTAATCTGAGCAAATGTGTGACAGAGAAGGAAGTAATCCTTTCTTAAATAATTTCAGGACATCAACATAACAAAATTATTCCAACGCCAGACGAAAATCATAGAAGAGTCACATCAAAAAGGAAACAGTTGAGTAGTCTACATATTTTGGTGAATAGGGAGACATGCAATTGCAGGCAATAATAAATAAGGAGGGTTCTTAAACATTTATTATTTTAAGGTACCAACAGCCAAAAGTGTCCCGTTGTAATAATGTACCTATATAATATATGGCACAATTGCTTTGAAGTCAAGATATTTCAATTCACCCCGTTCAATGTATTGACACAAAATCATAGAATAAAATTCAAACCTACAAAATTAAGTGAAAAATAGTACAATATTTGTATTAAAAAAATACTTCTACTTTTGGTTTACTTCTCCTCTACTAAGAGAAGAAATAAAAAAACTGTATACAAAAAAGTTGGTCACAAAATGTGGATAAAATGATAAAACTTTAAGATAGTTTTCCAAAACTATATGATAAATAACCCATTAGATAAGTTGCAACTTCACAGTCAGGTTTGGCTTAACTGCATCCATAGGTTGATACGTACGAACATTCAAAAAGTAGGTACCTACATGTTATCAGGAACTCTAAGGACCACAAAGGTCAGTAACAATAATAGACTAAAACATAACCACTACAGTAACTACAATAGTATAACAATGACAAGATTTGATATCCAGCTCAAATTAAAACCTAATCTTTCTCTATGCTCAACACAAAAGACAGTGTGCACAATACATGATAGTCTTGGAAGAGATAAAACAATGCAATTTACATACAGTATTTTAAATACTACAAAATAAAAATCAAGCTCACATAGATGCAAAACAGCAATTTGAATGAAAATCGGAATAGATGTGTGCAACTAGCATTAAAACATAACCAAATTTCATGGTCAACTACCAATACAGTAATAATACAATTGACATAAAACCATAATCACAGACACCTTTTTCTTTCTCCTAGACAACATTTGAACTACCGCATTAAGCATTCAATTACTACTGTTGATGCAGCACAAGATTGTAGAACTGGCCATCCATCTCATACAATTGTCCATCTGCACAATAACCGTACGTTGAATATGGACTGCTTGGAGCATTTGGCACGCTCAGCCCTAAGATGCAACAGACAGAAACATGCATCAGTGCACCACCAAAGGCTGACAGCAGTGATCATGAGGGTATTGCAGCCTTAGATGATAGAGACCGTCATGCATCTTTCTACTTCCTACACCTTCCATCACCTTTGACTCCCTGAACACAAGCCGCGAGCTGAGTTATGAAGCTAAAGGAAATGCAATTTGTTTCAAGAAGCTAGCGGTGCAAACTAAGATAAAGCTGTGAAAATATTGAATAATTTACAATTACTTGCTGTAACTTAATGAGCCACAGAAAGCTCACATTGAATAGATTAAGAACATAAATAAATTGTACAAGAATTTGAGTAATTAAAGTAAATATAAGACAGGTAAATTAAAAAAAAAATGCTATGAGCATGTAAGTTGAAACAACCAATGTATACATTTAAGTTTGAAACCATACAGCATGCATGGTATATTTAATTTTAGAATCAGCATTCATAGAAGTGAAATACGTACATGCTATACTACCATTGAACAACACTTTCATTGACATGAGGTTGAAGCTACTATAATTCATATCAGACAGGAAAACCCGCAATTGATGGTACTCATTTAGATATTAATAACTTACTTCACTATGGGCACATTTGCTCAGAATAATAAGACCACATTAGGACAGGTCAGCACTAGTTTCATCTTGCTGTTCATTCAAATAGAGGGAGAGTCTACTCACCTTGCCGTGCACCCTGAACATCTAAATGGCTCCAGTATGCCTCACTGGGTGAAACATGAGCTGTGCCAGGAGGTGGCTGGGCAGGCTGTCCAGTGTATCTGAAGTACGGATTTTTCAGGTCAAGGCTATTGCTAGTACGCATGGTTGTTCCTTCCACCCTCATTTCGAGATTTACATCATAACTTTGTCTGAAACAAAATTTTAAAGACTTGGTAATGTAGAATTTAGCATTATTGCATCTAATGAAGTAGTATCAACAAACAAAATCTCACCGTTGATTAGCAACAAGGGACACTTTTCCTCGCAAGAGTTGTCCTGCTTTAACAAACAATGGAGATTCAACCAAACAACGGACTTGGTACCAATGTGTGAGGGGTTCTAAGGGTGAGGTAGACAGCCAAATCGGAGATTGAGATCCAAAGAATGCAACGTCAAACCAGAATGCCAACCCATGCACTGTTCCAGTTTCCAACATATGGAACTCAATAGGAATTTCTGGAAAAAAATTAAAGTATACATTGAAGAACATACTTTTACATTAGTACATGTATTTAGGTGTACACCCAATAATTATGTAGAGAAGATTAGATAAGTTACTATACCAATAAGATGAAGATCTTCTTCATTGGCTGTACTGAAATCCACAACATGACAGACAGACTTCGCCATGGTAATACGCATATCAAAAGTATCAACAACTGGCTGACGGAAATATTCCCGCATTGCTGCCTCCCGGAGTACTCTGAGGTCAACACCATGAAAATGCTGTTGATACCTAAAGAATAAAATAAACTCAATAAGTGCATTCACAACAAATGTCCACATTAAAATTTGACATCAGCTGGTTTCAGTCTTACTCTCAGTACAATCTACATACCAAAAGTTAGCTTTGTTGAATTGCTCCATATATAAAGCTTCATCTGTGAAAGGGGCCACATGAAGATCACCCCGACTAGGGAACATTTTACCTAGAAGCCAACACATACTACTATCAACGACCAGACTGGATTCAAAGCCACCAAAGAAGAGACGGAAAATGAAAGCAACACATTGTGTGGAAGGTGTGAAACCTTACCATCTGGCTTAAGCCACTTCTTAGCGTGTAAAAAACTTTCCAACATTCTCTCATTAAACAGCATGTAACCCATAGGTTCAGAAATGATAACATCAACTTTTTCAGGGAGATCAATTTCTTCAATTTTTCCAGCTACCACAGAAATACGGTCAGCAAGGTTGTTTGCACGAACAAGTTGCTAAAAATATAAATGACAAATGAGCATTATTTGAAGTGACACACACTGGTCAGGTATACTTAAGACAAAGTTCAACTAACCTCTGCATGCTGTGCCATAGAGCTAGCTTCAACAGCATACACTCTTGCAGCTCCTGCCTGAGCCACAAAAAATGACAAAATGCCTGAGCCTGCACCAACATCTAGTACAATTTTGTCTTTGAAATCAACAGTATTGGAGAGGACTGCACGTTGGTATGTTGAAGTTCTTATGTAATCTTGAAGCATGTTCTGCTGTTGAGATAGATACCCATAAAACTGAAAGAGAGAAGACAAGGATCATGAGAATAAGCAGTTGATAAAAAGAACTACAATTTGGGTTGTATATTTAATATCTGACCTGAAAATACTGGATAGCAGAGGAATCATCAGTACGGCAAGCAAATGCAGAGTTTTTGTTGCCTGTTTTCACTTTAACCACAAGTGTGTGGAAAGCTTTCAACTCTAGAACAACAAAGTTATTAAATTATTACGGATATAATCAAACTTAAGGCACAAAGTACACAAAACCGAAATATTTCAAAAAAAAAACTACAAATTATTAATGAGGATAGTCTCACCATCAGAATCCTTGAACTTAAAAGACAAACTCTCCATGTCATCTAAATGGAAGATGTAATTGAGCGTACCCATTCGGGCACATTCCGTTGAATGTGATAGCACAAAATAAAATAAGGGTTCACCTTGCATCTGGCCCTCTGGAACAACAACATCTACGGTAAAAAGAAAGGAAAATAAATTAAGGTGGCAGGTGTATTAACCTTAAACTTAAATTAAAACAAGAATAATGATAACCAATGCAAAACATTGAAAGATAAACATAACTTCATGGTAATTAAGGGCACTGGTAGTGCACAACTATGGTTTCTGGGGTCATTTTAAAGCTGACATGTAGTAGAACCAAAGATTTGCAAAACCATGCAATTTTAAAACTTTAAAAAAATAATTCTGGTCTCACCATAACCAAACATCAAAACTCAGAACTGAACAGATAGCGTATGGCTCTCAATACGATTAACTAACAAGGGGGAAAAGAATCGAAGATATTGTTTTCAGGAGAAAGCATCATAAGTGAAGGAAGCGGTGTTTCGTTGCTAATTGCGGTAGTCTTGCCGCCTCGGGGCCTTAGCATGACCCCATGGGGACTTGATTGAAAATTGAACCACAACCCTAGGAAAACTGTCTGCGGCACCAAATGGCAAGACAATTGCATAAGTTTATCATTTACAAGAGTGTCAGTGCAAAATTTCGCAAATTTTTCACGGGCTAGACATTGATATGCAGTGCACTTACCTCTGTATCCATTGATCGTGAAGCCTTGTGGATCGTATTCGGCAGAAAGTGTAACCGGGAAGTCATATTTTTGGATTATTTGGCCCGAACTTTCTACCCTTGACACAACAACACTTTCGAAATTTCTCGCCATAATTTTGTTGTTTATTGGTGGTTAACACAAAGAAGAAGCTGTGCAGTGGAGCACTTCGCTTCACCGGTTCATGGGATCACTCAAGGATACGTTCTCCGCGACAACCAAAGCGTTCACAAATCGCAATGGCGGTCATGGCGGTCGGCTGGTCACTCGTGGTCGAGACTGGCATGCAGCGAGGCTAGCAGGGCTGGCGGCTTTTCGAGAAGGCGCAGTAAGAGAGCGAAAATTCGAAATAATGCGCTCCGTGGTTTCTGATGACTTTCTGGTAAAATGTTCGTGTTTGGGTAAAATCAGCGACGCGTGAACGAGTGAACGAGATCGAAGTTTTGGCCAATAATTCGCAGCTGCGATGACTGACGCTCTACGCACGCACGCAACGTCACGCGCCGCTAACTTTACAGACGTCAAGCGCGGAGTGCCCGTTCTTATCTGAATATAACGTTTGACGTCTACCATGACTCTTCTTGATGTCTTATTGGACCGTACTTGACATTTTGAGTCAGATCAGTGTCACGATGACATCAAGAAAGAGTCATGAATTCGTCAAAATAGGGGACCATTTTGACGTCATGCTGACAGCCGCTAAATTCCTCCTTGGGACGAGACACGAGGAGAAATGCACTTTTTTTTGAAATGGAAATATTATTGGTTAAAATTATCGCCTTATATTTAGTCAAACGCATGCATCGACATAAAATTTTCGATTTGGTGCAATTTCTTTCATTTTCCTTGTTCTTCCCCACGTGTCGTTTTCCCCCGACCTGGCCCTTCACCCATTGAGTGTGTATGGCGTAACGGTCCTGCCTGTGTGCTGTGTCGTTATGGTAGTGTCTCTGTCATACAAGTGGCAAGGACTGTGCATTAACACTGTGCCGTGACACCAACATATGGGAATTGCGTCGACGTATGGTCCTATCTACATAGATGCGACGTTGAGTCCACGTGAATCTACGTAATTCATAGATTCTACGCTGATGCGGCCTAGATTCTACGTAGAATTTTCCATGCGGGGACTTGCGTCTAATATATAAGGCAAGCTTCTCGTCATATCTAACTAGGGTTCGGTGAGTGCTCCTAGTCCTAAAGAACTCTGTAGGACTCTACTACCAGAGCAGTGCGCCGGCCGCGACGGCGAGGGACCCTCTCGCGGGGAGGGGAGGGGGCGTGGAGAGAGGGATGCGGGCGCGCAGGCGCAGACGGGGGCGCGGGCGGCTCGGGCGGCGGGGCGCGGCTGCCGGCTGGAGCTCGCGGGGCTGGCGCCGCTGCCCGCGCTGCCAGGCCGCCGCCAAAACATTTCTGCTCGGGTCTGGCTCCAGGCTGCTCCGGCTCCGCGGGCCGCTCCAGCGCGCTCCAGCGAGGAGCTCTAAGCGGCGCGTGTCGCGAGGGAGGGGAGGGCCGCGGGGGAGGGCCGCGCAGCAGGAGCCGTCGCGGAGGTGAGGAGCGCGACGAACGAGTCCGAGCGCCGCACCGCCACGGCCGAGGCCACGGCACGTCACCAGCACAGTCCCCGCGCGGCGCCGGCCCCGGCTGACAGAGGTGAGTCCAGGGAATGCCAGCGCTGCGGCCCGCCGGGCCCCCGCGGCCGGCTCCAGGGCAGCTCAGATGGTTCAAGTCCAGGGCCCAAAACCACACATGCTCGAAAAGCTCAGGAGGGAGGGTGGAAATGGAAACCAAGCTTCAAGCACTAAAAGCGCAAGTATGTGAATATCACACACTTATGTGTGTGCGTGAATGCTCATTTTTGTACTGAAGGGAGTAAAAGTGTGAATTTTACATACTTTGACTTTGAAATTTTCATACCTGTGCCCCTATGTCTCCATGTGTACGAATCGCGTACACACACCTACAAGTGTGCGACATTCAAACACTTGGGTTTCCTGTGTGATTTAATCAGGATCTCCAACGAGTGGCCATAAGGCTGACTGAACGAACGCATTTGTCATTACTAATAATAAGTTGGAGGTCCGGTCTCTGTGGTCAAGCAGCGTCGGGGCATCATCACGCCGAGAGTGCAAAGACTTCGATATGAAGAGTTGGTGTTGGTGATAAACGGAGATTCGTGTCTCCCGTCGCAAACGTTTCAATCGTGACGGATGGCACTTTCGTTGCAGCTGCCCCAAAACCCAATCGCTATTCGGCCAAGGCTGGGGTAACAAACACAGTCGCGAGTCTCACATCTGAAAAGACAGTAATAACAGTTTCGGGTCTTGGTCGAAAGAAACTCATGCACTCATAAGTGTGCGAACAGCGCGGATGTTCCATCAGTGTTGTTCCTTCGGCGCCTCGCCCTATACCGCCCCTAAGGGGCTTACGGTAGGCATGGCGATGCGTGGCGAATCGTGGTGGGGTGGGGCGGGGGACGGGGCTGGCGCGGCTGGCGGCGGGGCACGCCGGACCCGATTGAGTAAGCGAAGCAGGAGGGGCCGGAGGAGCGCAGAGGGGTAAGACATATGAATCTGGCCTGAAGGGGAACATGGTCTGACTCAATTGGCAAGGGTAGCTTGTTGTCGGGCTCGCCACACCACCGCGCGCGCACACACACACACTGCCATAGCCCGGGAGAGGAGGAGCGAAAGGAGTGTGCGGGAGAGGGGAGGAGAAGGCGGAGAGGCATCTGTGATACGGGAGGTACATACGACGCGGAGAGACGTGGGAGTCGAGTTTGTCGCGCAGTGCTCATGCGGCCAAGAGAGTTATCGACAGGTTCGACGTAGCTTAACGCATTTCAATTTCTTTTCCGATTATTTTAAACTACGAAGGGAACGTATCATTTCCATGAGAGGGAAAAGTGAATTAGAGATTGTTGCGAGCTCTCTGAAAATGCAAGGTGAGGGAGGACAGACCGAGTCGTGCAGGATCAGTATACACACCTGTCCTACTCCTACCTTACGTAAATAGTTGGAACGCATAGAACGAGACACCAAAAAAAGAAATAGGAAGCCATAGTCAACCTGAAATGTTGGCTCACCCGTCATTGTATGGGTGCACTGAAAGTCGGGGAGTGACCTCGGGACTGAATTATAAGTTGCTCCGGAGAGAGCGACTTTTTTCATCCAATCTCGTCACTCCTGGGAGAGCAACATTTTTGAAAGTCGCTCGTTTAGTCATATTTGTGACATTTTCAGTAGCAAATATCAAATGTAAAATGAAAATTAGTTTTGGAAAATTTTGTGAATGTTGTTGGATTACAACATGTTTTGTTTTTCAACAGAATTTGTCGATATAAAACTTAACATCAAATGTGTTGTAAATTCACAACCGATTTTTTAACAGTGAGCTGTCCCATTTTTCTGAGTGTAGGAAACACAAAAACAAGGGGAAAGGCAGAAGCGGAAAAAAGGGAGAGGCGAAGGCGTGCGCGCGCCCGGATCCGAGGCATCCAAATTAAGTTTGGCAGTGTACTTCGGCTGCAGTGCAATTGCAATTAGCCTCTGCCCCATTCGCTGGCTGCGGCGTGGCGTAGTGTGGCGCGAAAAAGGCTCTCGAGCCTGCAACCTCCCGCCCCCACCCCCTCCCCCTGCCCCAGGGATTGGGAGAGGGAGAGGGGGG